ATAAAGTATGTTCATGCTTGATTTTTCAAAACCTTTTTTCACAAAGTAGGACTCTATACAACTATAACATACTCGAGAGGCTTGTTTAAGTCCATACAAAGTCTTCTTCAATGTCTTACCTTCTGTTCATTTCCTTTCTGTTCATATCCAAGAGGTTATTCTACAAAAACTTCTTCACTTAGTTTACCATGTAAGAAGGTTGATTTTACATCTAACTGATAGATTTCCACTGTTTTAGAGCTGCAAGAGAAATAATTAGCCTAATTGTATCCAATTGAGCTGGAGGTGTAAAAACCTCAATATAATCCACCCCATGTTCTTGAGCATATTCCTTTGCTACCAATCGAGCCTTGTGTTTATCCACCTCTCTATTCTCATTAAGCTAGTCTTGTAAACCTATTTTACTACAATATTCTTTCCTTCAACGATAAATCTGTCAATTTTAATGTATCATTCCTCTCTATAGCTTCTATCTTTGCATCCATTGATTTTCTCTATTTTGGACTATTTATAGCCTCTTTAAATAAGATAGGATCACTACCTGCAAACATAGCTAGATATGTAGTATTTTCTTCCTCGAAAAGACCTTTTTCTACTGTCATAGCTCTCATCCACACAGGTGCCCTTCTAACTCTTCCTTTACTAGAACTAGATGGATCCTTAACTGACTAATCCAAATCACACTTCACATCTCTTGTTGTGTTATCATGACGATCAGTTTCAGTGTTTCCTTCGGTATGTCTTCCATTATTGTCGCCTGTGGTTGTTTCTTTGTCATTTTTTTCCCTAATCAGGACTTCGTGACTCTTGTCCTATTCTCAACTATTTTCTTTTTCGAATACCAAATCTCTGCTTACTATTATCTTCTTTGTGATTGGATCATACAATCTATATGACTTTGACTCCTCACTAACTCTTAGTAGAATGCATCTCATGCTCTCATTATCAAGCTTAGTCTTCTTAGTATCAGGAATATGAACATGTGAAATGCAGCCAAACACCCTGAAATGGTCAATTGATGGTTTGGATCCGCTCCAAGCTTCTTTTGGAGTCTAATTTTTTTACTGCAAGAGTTGGACTTCTATTCAAAACATAGATAGTCCAATTGACTACTTCAGGCCAAAAAATTTTAGGAATCTTCTTCTTCTCGAATAGTATGCTTCGGACCATATTCATAATGGTCATATTCTTTTGCTGCAACACCGTACTATTGAGGAGTATATGCAGTTGTCATTTTGTCTACGAATGTCATTTTCTTTACAAAAATATGTGAAGTCATATGATGTGAATTCTCCTCCTTGGTCAGTGTGAAGAAATCTTAAATGGGAACCAGTTTTTTTCTCAACGTGACTTTTATAGTTCTTGAAAGTGGTAAAAGATTCCAACTTCTCTACCAAGAAATAAACCCAAGCTTTGAGGCTAAAATCATCAATAAAAGTAATTAGGTACAATTTCATGCTATTTGAGATAGGGTTAATTGGTCCACATATATCAACATGGACCAATTGTAAGATTTGAGAAGCCCTCCATGTGTTCTTCTTTGGAAAGGAATTTCTTCGTTGTTTTCCTTTTAAGCAATCTTCACACACCTTTGAAGGAGTTGTAATTTGGAACAGTCCATTCACCATTTTTTTTTGTTGCAAAATTTTTAAGCTAGTGAAGCTTAAATGTCCATATTTGCAAAGCCAAAGTCGAGCTTCATCTTCTATAAGAGAACTCAAACATGTGTCTTCTTTTTTTGGTTGTATTGCAGAAAGCAAGATAAACATTATGTTAGATGACATTGTAGTCACCATAACTAAATCTCTCCTAGGATGATAAATCTTACACTTCCCATGTTGTATAGGATTGTAAGTCCCTTTTCTTGTAGCTATAACTTCCCAAAATTCTTATGGCACCTTTTCATAATTTTGAAAAGTTGAGGAACTAAAGTGAAATATGTTTTAAATTCTTATATTTTTTGTCAAATAATTAGATTTTGATAAAACAAGTTTTAATATATCAATATTAGACTCTTTTTGCATGTTGTAATTAATTAGAAATCTTTGACTCGAGAAAAATTTGTTTTGGATTAAACTACATCAGGTTAAGTCCGATTAAAATTTAAAAGAATAAAATGTTAATAGAGTTGGTGGGGACTTGGATTATTAATTAAGTAAAAACATTTTCCCTCTTTTAGCCTCTCCCACACGTGATTTTATTTGATATGAAACCATTAGCGTAGTACAATTCATATAACTTTTTGAAATCAAGTCCAAGTTGGTCACGTATCCTATTTTAAATCTTTTGAGTGAAAAGAAATAAAATAAAATAGTGATATGGTATTCTATTTCTTGTATATGCGTAACTTTGTGTACTCAATTGTTAAATATGTTTGATTTCTTTTTAAAAACATATTTAGTTGTGGGCATAGTTAGTTTTCAATGGCATTGCCACTATTGAATTTCAAGGAGATTTTTGACAGCCAAACCTATGTTTTGGAACTTGGTTAAATTATGTAAATCTTGTTCTGTATTTTAGCCATTTTATTGCAGAGGTAAAACTATCAGTTGGGCGCCTTTTGGATAAACTGTAGTTAGCTAGTACATGTAATATTTGAGAAAGCATAAAGTGACGAGATCCTATATTGTGAAAATCAGGTATGTTGGGTAGTTCTATTACTTAAATCAAAAGCCGTAATCAGTAGACAACTGAAGTGTCTACATAATCAGAACTCATTATAGTTTAAACTACAGATAAAATTGAGTGCAATCAAACTTCTTTCAAAATGCTGTTGTTGACTAGCTTTCATATCCACATTTTTGCTTTATAAATGTCAATGGAAGAAGCCATGCAACTTGGTAATTCGATCTCCGAATTTAGTGTTCCAAATGTCTAATCTAATGTACCGAATGTCGGAGCAGTTGTCTATATTCTTGATTTGCTACGGGGTTACGGATTTCTGGTAACTCGGAGTAAAATGTTGTATGGCTGATGCATTGAATTTCTGTTTCTCAAAATGATTTTCTTATATTTTTGTTTTCCATGGAACAGGCTTTGATGAGAGGAGAGAGAAAATCTGATTTTAAGAATTCTGAGAAAAAATGGAGGACAATGATAAGTTCCCTGAAGAATAAGCACTGAATGCATCATCAAAGTTCAAGCAGTCTCTCAAGAAGAAGAGCAACAGAAGAAAGAGTGATGGCCGAGTCAGCTCTGTTTCAATTGAGGATTCATGTTAAAGGGGGCATAATGTGGTTGGAAAACTACCTACAGGACGATGAAAGTCAAACACTACCTCGTTATGCTGCTATTTGCCAAAGAATTGTCATATATGAGTTACTTGTGAATCACAATACTAATGTAAAGATAAAAGACAAATGAATTTTGCTAGTGTGCCAAAAGAGGTGCACCCACCTGGGTGACCAACCCTCACAAGAGGGTGGGATCGACATGGGACCCGCGTGTAATAAAAATTGAAAAAAAAGGCCCCACCCCCTCTCAATGTGTCTGTCCTGTCAGGGAGGGTGTCACTCCCTGACACTGCAGCATTTCTCAAGACAAATTCCTTGTCATGTGCTTTTGTCAAATTCTGGTTAGTCGACAATGTGAATGAAAAGTGACATATTGTGTCACTTTTTTGAATTTCTATAATTTCTTTGAGTGTTTGTCACCTTTTTTTTATTGTTTGTTTCCTTTTTTGAGTTTTTGTCACTTTTTTTTATTGATAAAAATCATTTTTAATAAAAAAAATATTGTATGCCACTTTTTAATAAAAAAATGATAAACTACTTTACAAAGTGACGTTTTGTATTTAGTAGGCAGACTGTGTTCTAGTGAATACTTGACAATTTTCTCAAGTGGGTAGACTTTGTCACTTTGAAAAAAATTTGTCACGTTTTGAGTGGTTTGTCACGTTTTTTTCAAGTCTGTCGCATTTTAGTGTTTGCCACTTTTTTTTTTTTTTTTAAATGTTTTGTCACTTTATTTATTGTTTTTCTTTTTTTGAATTTGTGTCACTTTTTGAGTGAAACATCAATTTTTAATAAAAACGACTTTGCCACTTTTTTTAATTTGGATCTTTTTTTTTTTTTTAAGAAAAAAGTGACACTTAACTTTACAAAGTATTTTTTACTTTCAAAATACTTTTCATATGATTTTTCAAAAGACATAATTTTAGGAGTATTTTTGTAAGTTTTCCATGTTTTTAATTAAAAGGTCACACAATATTTGTTTATGTTGTGCTAGATAATAATTAAATTTATCTAAACTAAGTTTAATTCATATATATAAGTTTACAATGTTAAAAAGGAAGTTTTTAACTAAATTTTTGTTATATTAGACAATAATTAAATTAAATTAAAACTTTCTTAAAAGTAAAATGACATGTCATGTCACATTTTTTTTTTATTTTAAAAAAATGGACATTGCAATTACTTTGAATTATAACTGTAAATCAAGTTCGTAAAAATTATACATTTGATTTTACATAATTTGAAATTTGTACTATTTTATTATGTTAAATATTTTAGTTTGAGATTCACATCTTTGTTAGGATTTCATATATTTTCACGATAATTATATTGATTTAAAAGTAACATGTTGTGCCACTTTTTATACAGTTCTTGATCTAATATTTAAATGTTTTTTTTTTATTTGTTATGTTAAATATAAATAAAGGTTCCACAAAAGATAAAGTAATATCATACATTACTTTTTAATTAAAAGATCTCACATTATGTAAATAACTGACATTTAGAGGCAAAAAATAAATTATTTTTCTATAATCCAAACCAAAACTTTTAATCTAGAATACGACGTATATACTGACGCAAGCTTCTACAACAAATAATAATATATCCACTAATCTTACACGACCTATACAAAAGGAAAGCCAAATAAAAGACCCAATTTCTAGAAATGAATGAATACATTGCTGTTCTTCATCAAACCTTGTTAAGAACTTGTCTCAACCCAATGTGATGCTGATCGAAAGAACCTCGTTCCTTATTTGTTTTGCCTCATCGACCAATGTGCAAATGCGGCAATTCAGGAGGATTATTGCTTACAATATTTGCCCACAAATTCGCTAGTGTCACAAAGTACTGTTCATCTTCCCACATTATCATCTTCATGCCTGAGTTCAGAAATACAAAAATAAAAAATTGAATAAAAAAACCTGAATATCATTGGAAAATAATATCAAGAAGCTAAGATAGATTTGATTTATACGTCCCATTTTAGTGAAGGTTAACTACCTGGTACTGCTCCAACAGATAAAATTGATAGCCGGCATAAAGATTCATGTTGTGTGAAAACACAGTTTTGAAGAGCAAATGCATCAAGACCACTTATGTACTTAATGGACTTCATCAGTGATGCATCATCAGATGAAGACGTTTCTGAAACACTCATAAGAGCTTCTTCAAATCCTGAAGTTGACCATAGAGTATGACATTCCTCTAGAAGAATTTGGATGCTTGACCAACAGGATATGGTCCAAGGCTTGAAAATTTTGGCCGAAGCTTCAAGTATCACTACAACCCTGTAAATCTCTCCGAGGGCTAATATAAACTCCCTTCCTGTCAACATTATTATCACGAATACGAGAATCATAAATTTAGAAATAAGCACGCAGAGTCCTAGCATGTTTGGCTAACCACAGGAAAAAGGCAAAAGTTTATAAGTAACACTTTGTTTCCAAGCATGTTTGGATGTAATACTTTTTTCTTACATCAAATAAAAAAAGTTGCTAATTTAAAAAATAACTCTTGCCTAATCAAAACCGTGCTCAGCCTATCAACCCAAGATTGAGTTAAGGATTACAGGAATGGAATTTCGTCATGACCAGCGGATACTTCAATCTCTCTCTCTCTCTCTCTCTCTCTCACACACACACACACACCAGTGAGTAGCAAATTTCCTTTATTCTAGGTTGTAACTTTGACCAATAAAAAAAATAAGTATATTTTAAAAACTTATTTACTTATTAAGCATACTTAATAAGGTGAACCTTTCAAGCTTAGGCAAGTGTTTCGTTATCATAGCCAGTCATATTCTAATATCATTCAACCTTATAAAACTGGTGATAAAGAAAATACAATTATACTCAAACAGTGGCCTCAACAAGATAACAAAAAATTAATAGTACCATACCTTGAGTTTCAGATAGTATCTGACTTTGAATTTTCTTCTCGATTGCCTGCTTCCAAATTAAGGAACCATGCTCCAACTCTTGACTGCAAACAGAGATCATCTTGGACCATGTGGTAACATACATTTGTTGTTCGTCCAATGTTCCTAACTTCAATATCTTAATCATTGTTGTTGTATGTTTTATAAGTTCTATGGCTAATCTAAGATCCTGCTCCGCCTATTAATCAGCAAAAACTTAGTAAACGACTAAACAACCAAAACACATGCAGAAAAGGTTAAGAAAATAAGATCAAAAAACTATCCATAACTTCAGTAAAAGTGGCAAGGCTTTTTTGTTATTTGTTATTGAAAGAAAAAAATAATAATAAAATTTGAGATTAAGGAACAAACTACATACTAGTAACAATTTTTCTGATAAGTGATATTCTGATTCAAGTACTAGAAACTTTGGCTCCAATAGAATTTCAATAAATTCCTTGAGATAACTTTCTCCTGAAGGATGATCCAGTGAATCGTCTTCTTTAAATATAACATTCATTTGATCAAGTTCCTTGGAAGCCTCCTACAAGTGATTGCAAAGACATCAGTTGATAATATTAAAAGCACAACACGAGTACAAGACTAAATAAAAATCGAAAACAAGTCATCCATTCAAACATGTGAAACCATTCTATACAAATGGGACTTTATCAAAATGAAGTCATCACCACAACCTTAAAGTTCTGGATAAATCACTAAGCATAGCATAATTATTTAGAGAAACATGAGAAAAGCAAGGTGAGTAACATACTATTCAAAAATTCATTCCCTATCATGCAAATTTTCTACAAAATGTGCAGCTAGATTTAGAAAAATATACTCCCAACACCTCCAAAAAAAAAATTCAAGAAGCAAATTGGAATACATAAAAACTTTAACAAAAGGAAACTTGCATGCACAGCCCCAAAACTCATCCATCAGCGTGGATGTCAATTAAATATTTTGTTCTAGTTACATGTATGCTAAAAAATTATTACTTCTGTGCAGTATAGAAATGTCTCTCATGAGCACTTGATAGAAAATGGGGATTCTATTATTACATGTTTATAAATGCATTGTTCAAATTACACATAATTGTTAGAAAATGGAGATTCTATTATTACATGTTTATAAATGCATTGTTCAAATTACACATAATCTAATAGATTATTGCGGTATTTTACAGAATACAAATGTTAGTTTATGAGCAGTTTTGAGAAGATGGTGAAACTTTTGTTCCACGTGATTGAGCTCAGTTCCATGTAACTAATCCCAATAACTGATTTGACAGAAAGTAACTTTGGTGATGGACGGAGGAATACACATCCATTCTACAGTGAAAATTAAGCAAGCAATTCTTTAAAAAAAAAAAGGAACAACTTTATCAGTTTTCAAAGAAAAGTCATCTTGTCTAGCTCTCGACACAGGTTTCTTGTCTCACAGCCTAAAAGGATTTGGGTGATGCCAAGACTCTGGTTAAACTCCCAACAGTGGGTGTATTGGCTGCTGCTCCTAAATATGTATACGTATTTGAAAACCAAAAAAGAAAAGAAATTTGATGGTTTTTGGGAGCCAATACCACCTCCAACCACAGTGGAATTATATGCTTTGAATTTTCGCGTCTATACAGATGTTTTCTGGGAGCCAAATTGTATATTGACTACTTTGATTTTTTAGTTAAAAGAAGTTTCTATATAGTAAGAGTATTTTCAAAAGGCTCTTTAAACATAAGATGCTCTCTATTTTAGAAAGTCGACCTTTAAAATTAATTGCGAATAGGCTCTTCAAATTAAAATTTTAAAATACTCACTTTTTATAATTATATACATTCAAAGTACTTCAATTTTCAATGGAGAAAAATAGTATAATAATTTGGAGGAAAGCAAGTGAAAATAAAAGATAGGAAAGAATAATAAATATTTTCTGGGAATAGTAAAATTAAATGTTGAAGATAAAGAGATTGTAGGAGTACTGAAAATTTTTATTCTTTAAATTTATAAATGCTCTATAAATTGCAAAATATGCTATTTAAAAATAGAGAATCTCTTGGAGATGCTCCAATACTGGATGAAAATCTTTGTACAATTTAACTCAAAAGTTAATACACTTGCAAGAAATTATGCTCAGGAAACCAGTCCATTTGGCTACACAAAGTCAAATGAAGGTACTCCACTGCAGTAGAGAGAATTATATATTTCTTACAATAATATGATATCCAACAGTTCAAGTACTTCCTCATTCCAGCTATAATTAATCCCATATTGCTGAATCAAAAAATTAACAATGTGACTACACTTAGTAATCATTAGAAAAAGACTTGAACTACTAATGTAATAAATGAAGAATGTGTGAGAAGCTAAAAATAGAATTAATATTTAATCATAAATTTATTAATTGTAAAAATATAATTAATGTCCTATATATGCTTTTTTAAAAAAACTGGCCGGGGCATCGACCTGGAAAAGCTAAAGAGTCCAAGGGCAAACGGGTTGGGAAAATAAAAACCAAAACTTTGTGTTGAACCAGCCAGATCTTGGCTCCTATGAACATTTCCAAAGTTTCCAGTTTTTTAAGCTAAACCAGAACAGTTCCAGCTTTTTCTTGTCAAACCGGCCTGTTTGGTCTGGTTTTGATAACATAGCAGATAAGAAATGTGTCCAAACTATAGGGGGTATTAGATTTAATATAGATATTTTAAGTTTGGGATAAAGAAAGTTTCACAGAATGTCACGGACAACATATTTAGAATTTACTTCGAATTAAACGTGCTTAATTGATTTTTTACCATTTACTTATCTGATTATCAACAAAAATATTTCCACATTTGAATAGTGTTTAACTACAGAAATCGTAGATGTTTCCGAAGTAAACAAGATTCGAAAATGTACAATATGCACAATAACTTCATTTTTATTAAAAAGAAGACAGTTCCAGAGTCCCATCACTGTATTTCGTACTTCAATCCAATCAAAACTTGATTTTGAACAATAAATTATTTTTCATTGTCAACAAGAATGTCCCATATTTAAATTCTGTCTAAACTACAAGGAAATGTTAGCATCTTTTGTTGTTAAAAATTATAGAAACTCACAATTTTCTTCATGCGTTCCTTATTTTTTTTAAAATGGAAGTTTCCAACTTCTAAGCGTGCCTCCCGACACAGTCTATATTTTTTAAATGCACTCATTCTTTAAGAATCCAGAACAGAAAAAGTAAGAATATCAGTACAGTGAGCTTCACATCTCATAGAAGTTCAAATATACTTCTGAAATAATTTATAGAACAAGAGATCTTAAGAAACTTAAGAACAGCCTTGGAAGCAGGCACGAGTAAATGGATGACGTACCAGGATTTCATTATCAAGAGCTGCCACTTTTGCAAATTCGCCTAAAAGAGCAGCAGTACTTTGAGCATTCTGACTCCAAAAAAATGGAAAAAAAAATTACATTCTAACATTCAGCAATTATTCAGAAAGATTGATAAAAAATGAAATACAGGACAATTGTTTCTTTCTAGAACAAACCTTTAGTCTCTCAATATGAACTTCAGCAATAAAGCACAACTCATCCATTAATCTAGAATAATAATCTACAAAATTATTCAGCTGCAGCTTGGAAGAGCTGATCAAATGATCACCTTCAACACTAAAAAGAGAGGCCTCATCGTTGTTTCTCTTTCCAGATGAGGCATCCATAAATTCCCATGTATTATCATCAAAATCACCACTATCATTATGCACTACATCTGAATTGGACACTGCATCAGATGGGCTCAACTTGATTTCAATTGGTTTTTGCACGGTGTCCACAGAAGAAGCTTGCTTGGTTTGGCTGTATAAATTGGATATAAGATCATTGATAGAAATAACTGAGTTGGAAGTATGACCATTTCTTTGATAAGAAGTGGGCTGATGCATAAAAGCATCTTGAACATCAACATGACCATTAGTTTCTGGCTCTTCATCGCCGAAGATAGATAGGGGCAGTGCACCTTTATGATTATTTGACCTAGTCTCCTTCCCCTAAAAAGTTGAGAAACAATTATATGAAGGAAAAAAAAAAAATTGGCTACCAAAATAAGTAAACTCAGAATTAAATTTAGTTATGTGATGCAATCACGTTTCCTGGTAGCGGAAGATAAACGTTTGTTCTCTGAAAAGGTGGAGTAATAAGAAAAAAATAAATGAACTTTAAAGATGCATGTACAGAAAGAAATGAAGGGCCCTCAAAGCCTATAATGAAGCAGATGACATCATAACTCTGGATATTTAAAAGTTCTCTTGGGGCAACACAACATTTTCATACTCTCTTCGTGAACTATACAAGGATAATAAGGCTCCGTTTGATTGCAAGAGTGGAATTTGGGTGGAAAGAAAATAAATTTCAAGGAATTAAATTGTCTAGAATTGTTTTCCTGAGAATTGTTAATTGATTGTATTTAATTAGTATAATTTTCGACGAATAAATTTTGGATCTTTTGGTGTTCGTTTGACTTTATTAAACATGAAAATTGTAGAATTTGTTATAATTTGGGATATAATTTGTTTTCATTACCAAAAAAATAGAGATAAAATAAAAAAGTTGCCTAGAAAACCAAAGCCAACCAAATCGGTGGAAATTGACTTTCCTCAAAACCATGGAATGGGAACCGTGTGAGGCAAAAGATGGAAAATGAATTGTTAAGAAAATTTTTCCAATCAAACATGACTTTTGGTGGAAGATGGAATTTCATTTCCAAATTCCATGGAAAAATTGCCAAATCAAACAAGGCCTAAGTGAAATGAACTTTTGTACATAATAACTGTTCATCTTATTAAATGCAAGAAAACCAAAAAAGTAACTCCTGTGACCATTCTTAATATTGTGATATGCACTCCATAAATGAGATAATATTCAACATTCACAAAAAAAAAAAAAGGAAAAGGTCTTACCATTCACATTTAACCGAGCGTACCAAATCCTAGGACTCAGAATTTCAGTCTACAATTTTTCCACCTGAAGTCTTCTAGGGACTTTAGAGCACAAGCATAAGATGACCATTTTCTGTTTTGCTCTCATGGGAAAAAGATATTTCTCCGACACGAAAGTATCAGTTTTAAGAGTACACGGCTGGATGGATATGCAGATAAGAATGAAGAGCAAAAGATAAAATGGCCAAAGTTTGAACTGATGTGTCCTTAAAGCTTAAAAGGCTAAGTTTGGAAGCAAGAAAGGCAAAACTTGGAAGCATGTAGATTCAATATTCTTTAAGGCAATGAAAATGCAACAGAAAACACAATAGACTATTGATACAGCAAAACCAACAGAAAGATTCATTTGGTATAACTAAACATGGAGCACCACAACATACATTGCATTTGGATCTAGCAAAATTCCCTATACTGTGTAGTACGTAATAGAAGTGAATTAAAATTGATAAAAGCAACTAGCAAGGGTCCTACCTTGCCTAAACCGTCCACCACAAAATAATAATAATAATAATAATAATAATAATAATAATAATAATAATAATAATAATAATAATAATAAATAAATATTAAATTGAGTTGTAGGAATTTTACATCAAAACAAAGTGTGGAGGCATGCAGAACCGATATTCTTGAAGGCAATGAACATGCAGCCAAAAAACACGATAAACTACTAATAGAGCAAAACGGAACACCAACAGAAAGATTTATATTGTCCAACTAAACATGGAGCACAATGACACACATTGCATGTGGATCTAGAAAATTGGATTACCGAATGGAAGTGGACTATAAATTGATAAAATCTACTAGCAGGGGTCCTTGCCCACATCCACAACAAAAGGTTAAATAGAGATATAGGAGGATTATATCAATATTATAAATTAATGAGAAATTACATAAAATATTGGGATGTACAAACTCCGGTTATATGCTTTTTATCAATTAAATAATTAATTACACACCTGAACTTTGCCATCCGGCATCAATGCTGCTTCTTTAGAGGGAGAAAGCATATCATCATCCAATGCTTCCTGAAATATGTAAGCAAATTCATCGTGCACAGTTGTGCAATGCCATAAGAATCTAAGTAATCAAAGGAGGACAGTTAAAACTTACTCTTGGCTTTGGTTCACTTTCTGAGAATGCAGTGGTAAATTCCCCAAAACCATCATCAGATTCAGCATATCCAACATCCGAATTAGGGTTCAACCCATCTTTAATATCTGTCCGTTCAATGTTTAAGTTTGTATCTGAAATAAAACTGATTGGAGCTGCTATACTTGACTGAATATCAAATAAGTTCACTTCCTGGGAACTACTATGAAAATCACTGGAGGTGGAAACTAAATCAACTTCAGTTGAAGCGGAAAACAAATCAATAGACTGATTTGCAGTGCCAAACAAATCAATTGATCCATTGCCAATCCCAGATGAGTATGCATTTTTGTCAGAAAAGACATGCTCCTCGGTGTCAACCTTCAAAACATAAATTAAATGTATAAGCTGCATTCAAGGTGGAAATATAATTTCATATATGTACGTAATTTTCATGGCACAATCAAGTAATCAAATATACTTTATTAAGCTGTGATATAAATCCATTCCAAATCATACACTAAAAGCAAACGCTGTTTGCAATCCAAGTAGGAATTTTATCTTCAGATAACTCCAAAGCATGACAATATTTTTAAAGAACTTAAAATCTGAGGATAATAAGCAATGCCCCTGTGCAATTCTTGGCCTACCATCAATTGAATTTGAAATCTTGGCCAAAAGGTTCCTAATATAAATGCCAAAGAATAAGCTTAAAAAATTCTATCACACAGGAGTTAGAATTATCATGAAAATTGTTACCATCTTCCCTACCATATTATTCACATCTCCAGGCCTCCATTCTGAATACGCATCCTTAAATTCCCATCCTTCATCTTCGTCATCATCCTTGTCGTCATCACATGTAGCGCCATCTAATTCCTTTTCGTTCATATCTAAATTTGAACTCAATGTATTCACATTTGCATTTAATGTGTTTGCACTGGAGCTGAACTTATTCAATTCCAAAGTCCATCCACCAAAAAGATGCGAGCTTGAGCCATCTTGATATGGATATGATCCATTCAACTTAATACTCAACCCACTGTTCTCACTCTTTATCTGCTGACTCTGATCACTTAAACTTTTCATACCATTGGCATTAGAATTCAAATTCATCTGGTTAAAATCCATATCCCACTCAATAAATCCTGAACTTACAGCATTCGATTTCGAGCAGGAATCAAATTCATTTTCAACCTTCACGTCCCTACTCTTTCCATCCAAAACCAAATCATTCACATTCGAATCAACCCTAGAGCTGGAATTTGTATCAGATCCATTTTCAAGACTCTGATCACTTGAACTTTTAGTACCATCTACATTAGAATTCAAATTCATCCCGTTAAATTCCATATTCCACTCACTAAAACCCGAACTTACATCATTCAAATTCGAGCTGGAATGAACTCCATTTTCAACCTTCTTATCATCCAAAACCAGATCTTTTGCATTGGAATCAACCCTGGTGCTGGAATTCGTACCAGATCCATTTTCATGCCTCTGATCACTGAAACTCTTCGTACCATTGACATTAGAATTTAAATTCATCCCTCTAAGATCCAGGTTCCACTCACTAAATCCCGAACTTACAGCATTCAATTTCGAGCTGGAATATAATCCATTTTCAACCTTCACCTCCTGACTCTTATTATCCAAAATCAAGTCATTCGCATTGGAATCAACTCTGGGGCTGGAACTCGTACCAGATCCATTTTCATACTTGACCTGCGGGGTTTGATTATACAGATTGGCAATAATGTCATTAACCCCAAAAATATTAGTATTACCAACACTTTTCAAATCCGATCCATTACTACCAAAATTGGAATTGAGATCAACCCCAGCCCCATGCTCTTCCTCCTCTGCATCCCCAAATAAGGAAAGTGGCAATGCGCCACTCGGTTTTACCCACCGAGTCGGTGACACCAGTTTGGTATCGCCTGATTGATTAGCAGCGACCTCGAACGAATCATAAGACTTGGAGGGTTCTGATTGGATGGAGGAGAATTGCGACGGGAATTCGACGAAATCGCCCCATTCATCATCGTCGGGGGACGAATTAATGCCATTGGATTGTGCTAAATGATGAGAATGGAAGGTGGCGGTAGGAGGAGGATTTGGAGGGAAGGATGCGAAAGTAAAGTTGCCGAAGGTGTCGTCGTCCTCCGCCGCCATATACGCCGGAAGGAGCCGCCGCCTTACTTTTGTTACCCTTTGCTGCTCCGTGTGTGTTTATTGGAGGGTCGGCTTGTCCATCGTGTGTGCACGCGCGGGTGAAATAGATAGTTATATGGATCGGGTTCGGTTCGGAAGTTAAACGTGTAAGTCCTGTACCGTTGATAAAAACAACTTTGATGCCAAATAAAGTGAATGAATCATCAACTTGTTGGGACGCGAAAGAAGGATTACCTGCAATAAAAAAAAAAAGTTAATTCAAAATATAAAATCATTTAGATGTTCAATGTATATTATGAACAAATCTACTTGTATATCAAAAGACGTACATCAAGGTTTATACTCCCCTCATACGGGGTGGGACCCACTTGTGTAAAATATTTTTTTATTCGAGCCTACCTCACCCCCATGTACACGATGATGTACCACTAGCAAAGCCGGTATGTTATACTATTCTAATTTTTACCCAAATTCAATTATCAATTTTTAATTGAGCTTAAATCACAAAAACTTGACAAATAAAAACAGAACAAAACAATTTTTCTCTCACTAATATGGAATAATTATTGTGTTTGTTACATAGAATTTCTTGGTTGAATCTAAGTTTTATTTATAGAGATAAAAATGTTTTAATTCATGTACAATAAGAATTCCAAATAGAAACCTATAGAAATCTCAATTGAAATCCAAATAGGGGTTTCAATCAAAGTTCAAATACAATTAGTCCTCAACTTATTTAATTACAAGTGTAGCCCTCCAATTTCTATTACAATTACAATTATAATTAAGTTTATAATGTTCGTACCAATTATAATTAAGTCCAAAATTTTATAGTAATTACAATTAAGTTCACATTTTTCATAATAATTGTAATTAAGACCCAATATTTTTAAAGAACTACGACAAGGACTTGATTAAACATATATTACACCAAATTTAATAATTAGATAATGTCTAGTCGACTCTAAACTACCCAATTTAATTATAGAATAATTGTAGTCACGGCCCTAAATCTTTCAAAATATTATAGATTTTATCATAATCTTTCATTTGTTGCACCTCTGGTGCCAAACCTTTCAAGTGGGTACAGTTGGATGTCAAATTTCATAAACCATTCATTTTTTCATTAGTTGACTAGAAAATTAACCTTGACCTCATTTTAATCAATTTTAAAAAAGGTAAACAATAACTATAAATTCCCCAATAAAATAATTAAAATAACTAAATCAAAAAATCAAACAGAGGTTTACGTGCATAATATTTTATTGTGTGAATAGTTGAAAATGAGTATATAGAAAAAAGAGTTTTGAAATAATAATTATCAAATAGTAGTATTTTTTTCAACGGTCTTGTGAATCAATCACAAATGTCAAAGTTTAGATGTCATATCAGAATTTAACTATGCAATGGAAAATACTTAAGTAGTCAGTATGATCATTTTTCAAGACGACGATTTTTTATATACTTTTTGTAGCTCATTTTAAATAATGTAATACTTAAAATATTTAACTAAATCACAAGAAAGAATTGTCTAGACTATCAATTTTTCAAAAATGCATCAATAAATATTCTGATTAGAGATGCTAAAAGCATTTACATATAGGAAAGCAATGAGCACAGATCATTTCAAGTGCTCCAATCAGAAGACATATAGTATCCTAGCAAAAATCAAAATAATGGATATTTTATTTAACCAATCATTCAACTTCATTTAAGAAGACATCTATAGCTTTCGTTTAAACTCCACATAACCAATCATTCAACTTCATTTTTCTCGAAAACTCAAGTAAAGGGCAAAAATGATTAAAAAAAATCGTTATAAATTTGCAAACATGAGAATCTTTAGAAAATTTAATTATAATATTTATCTTTTCAAAAAAGCAATCAAATTTAATATTATTTTTGTTTTTAAACACGAATTAAATTTAAAAACAATAAATAGATTTGATGAGGGAATATGTTCTTGATCCCCGCTTCTTACCATTCAGGGCATGATCCCATTCACGACGGGACAATGCAAAGTGGAAGCATTTCTTTTTCAAATTTCTAAGTGAATATTCATTAGAGATGAAATCGCAATTAGAATATGTATTCTTTAGTATAATTATTCAAATCAATCAAACGTTGAAGAATTTATAATCTAAACAATATCTTCTTTTTGCTAAAGTTAAAAGTGTTAAATTGTAATTTTTAATATTATATATATTATTGTTAAATGAGCTACGAAAAAGTTCATCGTTATTTATAGTAACACTTAAAAGAAAATGGTCACGGAGGCACGGATATTTGGATTTTGAGATCATGGAGATTTATGTAATTATTGAAAAGAAATAAGGACATCATGGAGGTCTCCGTAATTTTCCAAAAGAATTATAAGGGTAAAACTCCTACAAGGTTTATCACAATAATGGAAACACACACTCTTTTTTCAAAAATTATCATTAATCCCCCTTTTAGCATAAATTTCTAGTTTTTCCCCTTCTCTTCTTCTTATCATGTCCCATTTACTGAAATTTTTTAATTCAGATCAAAGTCAACAATTATTTTAAAAACATATTTCATGGAATCCGCAACTTTTTAACCACACATTTCATTTTCTATTAAATCTACTGAAAATTTGATTTTAATCCGCATCAAACAAGGGCTATATATGGTTATATTTATTTTCTTATATTTTAATTTAAATAATAATAAATTATATTAATTTTAAAATGTTTCTTTTTTATCTTTTTGTAGGGAGTGATTTTATCTTAATCATGTTTTGTGAATATTGGTTTCTCACTAAAAAAAAAAATGAATAAGTTAAAATTTATCTAGAATATTAACTGTAAAAATTGAACCAAAAAGAAATCTAAACTACAAACTTTTATGTCAATTTTTTTGCATATAAATGTTATGATAATATTACTTTAATTTTCGAATATTAACATAGCATAAATATCAAGGTATAAAATATTAAAAATGCTATTAAATCAAGCAATATAAAATATTCAATAAATTTTCAACTAGCTTAATTAAATTACTTAAATCATTTATTTATAGTGTTGTTAATTATTTGTCAATTATATATATAAACAGTGTAATTTACAATGGTAATTTTTAATTAAAATGATTTAATTTAAATCAAAAGTATTGAAAAGTATATCTTAATAAATAATAAGAATGGAAAAAATATAATTTAAATACTATAAAATAAAAATATCAAAATAGTATAGATGGATCATTTGGTGACATAGGGAATCTATTTATTACCACTTAAGAAGAGGTTTTTGAAATTCATTCTTAAAATAGTGAGATATTTAGGGACCGTTCTCTTTGTGTTTCAATTTTGTATTTTGAGTTTTGAATTCATTTTGTATTTTGTGTTTTGAGTGTCGGTTTTGAAATTTCTGAAAATGCGTTCCTTTTGCCATTCTCAAAAACTGTTTCCGAAAACATAAAAATGGAAAACTCATTTATTTTGAATTTCTGAGAATTTTTTTAATAATATTTTATTCAAAAAAATCCGATTATTCAATAAATTTTAATGGTTTAATGTTAATATAGTATTAAATAACATAAAAATTTTGAAATTGGTGAAACGTCAAATTTTTTTTTAAGATATTAAAAACACAATCTAAATTACATTTGATGAAACAGATCAATCAATGCGATTATAAATTTACGTGTCATGACAGAATAAGCAGATACTGAACAACATACAAAATAAATTTACGGAGTCATGTGCCTTTTGTTTTATTTTAGTTTTAAGTTTTACAATATTTCAAGTTGAAATAAATTAAGTCTATGTTTGATGGTCATTATTTGAAAACTTTTTTTCCTACGTACTTATTTTCAATTATATTAACGCAATAAAATATTTTATATGTAAACTCAAAATTTTTCTTCATCTCTCAACCACATATTCTCCAAATAATCATTATTCAAAACATTGTTTTTTTTTCAAAATAATGGGGCTAATTAAATAAAAGTTATTATTTTTAACAATAAGTAAACGCGTCCGTGCCTTGAAAATTCACGTGAAACAGAAAATTTCTTTCCTATATACGAGACAGGAAAATTTTCATGTAAAATTTTGTTCTCACTTCACAAGGTAATTTTTTTCACAATGACTTGGAATAAATCAACAAGCTAACCTCTAGTTGCAGTACATGTGCATCTAGATTTTACTCGACGTCAGCTAAAACAACTACAACCTCAAGAGGCCAGAAAGGAAAAAACATAGGACTTGATGAAAACTGTATTCTTTTAACATCGTTCTGAGCCTCAACCTTTAACAGAAGCCTTGTGGCGGATCAAATCATTAACGCAAGAACTGTAACGAAAAACAACATTGATGTCACTAAAACTATATGAGCAGTTAAAGATCAAGAAATTTCAAGATTGGTGCAAGTTTAGATGAATTGATTAAAAAGTAAAAATTAGCAAATTGATTAGGAAGGGAAATATAGACGAATTTCTCAGTTTCTATCCAACCATGGCATTAAACACAGAGTTTCATCTCCCAAAACTCCTGAGCAAAGTGGAAGGCTTGCGAGGAAAATAGACATATTGTAGAAGTAGGGTTGACCCTAATAGCACATGTGGTCTCTCTCTCTCTCTCTCTCTCTCTCTCTATTTCTGGCCCAATGCCTTCCAACAGCTATGTAATCGATAGGTTACACTGTGTAACACTAAATTTCACACCACCACCATTTTGAAGTACTTTACAAAGATTACCTACCAATATCTCACTCAGAGATTTTTGTGTTCATGCTAACCTTTCCCACGCTAGTACCATGATCACAAACTACAATTTAATTATATTGAGAGTTGAGTGGGTACATCCTGAATTTAGTTAAAAAAAAAAATAGATTCTATGTGTCTTGCCATGTCATTTTTATTGAAAAGGCCCTTCTCTTCACAGCAGAATCCTTCTTTGTTCAACATATATCCACAATTAATTGATTCACGATCAGAAATATTAATCCAACAAAGCATTTGGACTAACCTGCTTTGCAGTAGGTGACCAAGTCCAAGAGCCTCGAGCACAGTTAGTGAAATCATGGGAAGACCATATCTTATAAACAGTGCTTTCCAGCCCCACCTAATGAACTTTGAAGCCGAGTTTTGAAACCTGCATCATAATTCCAAAGCATCATTGCCAACAATAATGTTACTTCTTGTGAGATTACCTCAAGTTTAAGGCATAAATAGAAGTGTGAAGTTATGATGCCACCCTATATAGGTTCCAACACATTCAGTTCTAGTGATTAGACGAAGAATTTACATAATAAACCCACCCGACTTAATGATCAAGTAGCAAACAATAACATGATGCCTCCTGAGTAAAATTACACTAGCAGGGAATAGCAAATTCGCTTTCAAATAATCCAAAATTAAAAACCTTACACACACAATAACACACTCCAAACATTCTTATCACATACTTAACGATAGTTCAATAAAATCTTCATGTTCGGTTTCTCAAATTAAAGTTTCTAAATTAAACAAAGAAAAATAAACACACAAAGTATTGCAATTTTACCCTAACAAAAAATAAGTCAGTATAATGTAAGCATCGGAGACTCAAATTAAAATAAAATTGAATTAAAGTCTCCATAATACCTGTTCAGCACTTGAATCGTGGAGATTTGTTTTCTCGATGGGTTCTGGTGTGTGAGGAGGTGGACTGCTCCAACAAGGCAGTCGATTTCGGACGAAATTGAGGCTAACCCATGGTAGAATTAGATGCGCCTAGTTGAGAGAAATGTTGTTGTGGTGCTCTACGATCGAGAGGGTGCCCGAATGTGGAAGTAACTGGGGAGAAACCATGACTGCGCTCGCGATTTTGGATGGGAATTGGAGATGTTTTCGACGGACGGCGGACAGGCGATGGTCAGAGGTTGTAGAGGAAGATGAGGGGGTGCCCGTAGTCAGAAGTCCGGCGGCTTAGGTGGCGGGCAGTGGAAGTTTTTGATGGAAGATCGGTAGCGATGGAAATCAATAACTGAAGAGGAGAATTTTGGGAAACTAGACAACGAGGTTGTTTCCCGTGTTTTCATTCAGTTTCCTTTTTGGGGAGAAAACGCTCAAAACGGCTTTTTAGCCGTTTTCAGTACAAATTATTTTTTGTTTTCAAAAATTCATTTCAAAAAATGAAAGAGAGAACACATTTTCATTGTTTTGAAAAACCGAAAACAGAAAACTGTCCGAAAACAGCAAAGCGAACAAGGCCTTATTTTTCATAAACCCCGAGAAATAGTTTCTTACCTTTCAAATGCCAGGGAAGCAGGAATGTAATAGTCAATAAATAATGTGAGAAATTAAAATATTAGTTCCGTAGTATTGCCATCTACATACTAAAACAACACAATCCACCTTCATTAGCTCTTCAAATGCACCCACTTCTCAGTTAGGGTTGGCTCTGCTCTGCTCTAAACCTATTCAAGTAACTGTTCTCAACTATCATCACACAAATATATATGCTCCATTGATTATGCTGGAAGATAAGTGTATGCCAAAATAAAAGAAAAGACCCAGTTGGGAATGCAGGATCCGGCGTCAAATTGCCACTCAACAGTTTCCTTGAAGGATATAATCAACTACAAGGTGTTCGTTTTCAAGTCCAATCATTTTCTCTATATGTAGTCAGGTACTACGGGGAACATAATCATTTCGCTCACTTCTTCAAGCATTAGAAGTACATTTGACACTAATTTGGACGACCTAGGGTCAAGATTTGAAGCTCTAATGCTGTCACCATAAACATATTCCCTTCATTTAAGCACTGGAGGAATTTCCAGGAAGAAATAAAAGAAAAAAATATTGTACTCAAAAGAGCCCCAAAAAACCAATACAAGTCCAATAATTTCAACTTCTAGCGAAACTGAAGGTCAATAAACATTTCTCTGGCAGTAATTAATCATCCCTGTTTCCACTTCCTCTGCTTTTGTGCCTCCGTCCGATTCCAACGGAATGGTAAAATTACAGAAGCATTGCTTAAACATAATACCGAAAACAAATTTTATCATCTATATGTCTCGGGTAAGCGGAAGCCGGTCATGGCAATTTTGTCAGCAAACATCTTGCCAGTCTTTGGCATCACATGCCAATGCAATGTCAAGTTGAAGTCTTTGTTCTGCAGATTGCTTCCCTAAAATTAAAATAAAAAAGGATTAATGGAACCTTAATGAAAATTAAGTAGTCGAAACTGCTTCACAATCACTTACTTGGTCGACAAAGCTATATTTGTTTGTTGTCTGAATCCAAAATTTTGCATCTTCTTTGGAAGGTAGAATGCTATCCCACAAGGAAATCTGTCAAAATGCATCCAGATTATTTAAGTGATTCTGATACCAAGCCATGATGCCTCGGGGCCTAGCGCCCCCAAGGTCACTCATTGAGTCAAAACATACCTATATTCTTGTTTGAGAGTTTGTTTAGGGGTTAGAATTAAAACCCAGCATAGAAGTGTGCAGGACAAGATTTAGTTTACTAGGTTTAGATAAATTTTACCACAATACCAATAACATATACAAGTACTTTTCTGTAAAATTTCATGCCAAAGTGAGGTCGGGAAGGCTGTCAAAAAAAATGCAAAACTGCAGCTGTAGCGCCTACCGCATGAGTGAAATTGCCCACCTTTTTACAAACATGAGAAAAAGAATGTTTCCAAGCGACCTTCAGGGCACTAGGTCATCACACTGTCTCTTCTACTTTCAGCTATAAAAAGAACTAAAACACAGTTTAAAAGCATTTTCCAAAACGTCATGGAAATATGGCGATATGCTCTCGCTTTATCATTTTGACATTAAATTTCTCAACCAATGCAAATTGGAAGAGAAATTATAAGTCAGGCACTTGAAAAAGAGATTACTTAGGGAGTTTTGGAGGGATTATGTGCATCCGTGAGAAGTATGGGGCTGGTCTTTCCTGATATTGCAACATTATATCTCATCAAAGCGTTAGTATGGGGAACTATCTTTTTGATGAAGCACAGTAAGAACTAGCTTCGATGCCATCAAATGAACTTTTCAAAAATTTAGCATGCGAAGGTAGAATGAATACCTAAACTGGTAGCAAATTGAAAGTTGAGTGACTTGGAAAAAAAAGATTGGTGATTGAAGTTAAACAATGCTATGAGTAACAGTGTTTTTTTAACCCCTACAAAAAAGCATCATAATAATTGCAACGCATATCGAGCTACAAATTTGATGTGGAATCAGGACCCATATACCTGATTCAGTGCATTCTTTGGAGTTTCATATTCAGCTGCTAAAAATACAAAAACCTGCAAATGAAGATGAAATATTCTCATATCCATATGAACACTAACTGCAATTAAACTTATTCAAACTGCAGCAGGAAAGGCCCAACATATATAAAAGATTAAGGAGCAAGAGCTTGACAAATAAGCATTTAATTTTATATCATGTTACAGTAGAGAGCCTATTTTCTTCCTGAATATGATGTACCCATTAGAAAGAGCAACATCTAGAGAGGGAAGGGAAGGAAAGTTAACAAGGACAGACTTGTCAAACAGCAACACAACGTACTGTAAATAAAAATATTACATTAAGCCTCTGTTTGGTTTGGATAAATATTAGATTTTTAATAGATTTTGATAAAAGTTAGTTAAATGTATGGTTGAAATTTTGATAAAAGTTGTGGTCCCATGAATTGTGTGGTTGAAAATGAGCTTGGGAAAAAATGAATTTTGAGAAACGAGGGCCAAACAGGGGCTAAATACACATTTCTTGCCAACCTTGCAGGTAGTGGGATCCAGAATCATAGTTTAAAGTATTTTCTCGGTATTGTCATACACCATGATATTCTGATCTCAGGGCACATGCCCGAAATCACGTTGTGGAAAGAATATTAGAAAATATATTTGGCGAGATAACACAATATCATCAATACATCGACAATATCAATCCTTAAAATACCATGTATATCACTGTCTACCTTTTCCCAGGGTTCTCTGAGCAGAAATATTTATTTATTGCAATACGGGACAAAATTTTGCAACTGTCATGTCAACCATCACACTTGACACTTATATGTCGAAAACTAATGGCCTACAATATCCCTCTCTCCTTTTTTCTTTGATGAATTACTAGAAAACTTTCATTAGGCAAAATTCATACAAGTGGTATACAAAACTTGTACTCAAAACCATCCGAAAAATCCATCTACAAATCTAAGCAAGATGGGATGGATTGCAATCTGCAATTTCAAAAGGAACAAAGAGAGAAATGTAGCATGTGCTCCATAACCATATCTCCACTCCTGCAAAAACCCTTCTGTTCCTCCTACTAATGTTAGCCATTCTGTGAAAGTAGTTAGTTTTATTGTCTGGTTCTTTGCAGCCACAGCACCAAGATAACTGCCTCCAAAGGAATCTTGTAGGTGAAGATCAAATTTTATCAAACACTTACTTTTGTTCTATTAACCGAATATTTTAATTAATTAACACTACCAAGAACAAAATTTAATATGAAATTACTGAGTGTTGAACGAAATTCATCGATTATTTTGTCCCACACAATATTTTCATCATCTTCAAACCCAATTTCAAAAACCATACCAAGGGAAAAAAGGGTAAGCCAAACATACATCTTTCCAGTAGGAGTTGTCAATAGTATATATAGGGTGACAAATTCAGATGCACTCGAGGTCCAGACTCCAGAGTCGAAACAATATTCAAAGTGCATAGCCTATAACCTTACATGTTTACATTGGAAAGTGATATTTTTTTCCCATATGATTGAAAGCTGAAATTTCTGAGTGACTTTAAAAAAAATAAAATAAAAATCAAATGTATGTATGTGTGTGCGCGCGTGTGTGTATGTATGTATGTGTTCCATCTTCAGTGAGCAACTGAACTTCAATGTCTATATCAGATAAATAAATAATAGCATGATCACATCTTCAATCATCAGCCAACTACTAAAATAACATTTATCAGATTGAAATAGATAAGCTACAAAATCAAACCAATAACAGCTCAAGTGTTGGTTCACCTAAAGCATAAAGAGAACAGTCTGGATAACATAACAAACCTGCTTTGTATTCCACGTAAACAAAGATTGTAAGTTCGCTGACATATTAAATGTCAAACTGACCTGCATATAATATTAAAATATACTCATTAGATAAGTATGTGACATTTCCTCACAATGTTTCATAACTTCATGACACTGTCAATTCTGTGAGTCATATTGCTTCTTTTCCTTTCCTTTCCTTTTTTTACATTTTTTTTTTTTTTTTGCAGTTCATTCCAATTCATTGTGACCATTGTCATGTTGCAAGAAAATTTGTAAAACACACAGACCTCACAATCAATCTAAATCTAAAAGTTCAAGCAATTGATTAAACCAAGAATAACATCAATATGGGAAATGGAAAATCACATTCATGAACTTAAACATAGACACTCAAGAAAGCTCCTCAATCAATTACCCGTGACTTCGATTTAGACATAATGGGTTGGAGGCACATAAGACTAATACCATGTGTGTTAGCATATAAGCGGGATCAATGACTTGATCATCCAACTTTTCCCAAGTAAACTTGGGTTTCCCAGTTTCAAGTTGAGTCTTGTTTCTATTACCTATGTTTTCTCCCATGCTAGCCAGATTTGTCCGTACGCCTTTTCATTGAACCATTTAATACCCCTGGGAATTGTATGTATTTTTATGAACATGATTTGCACATTGAACAAGCAATTAATGGAAATTTTACTGAATGTAACAAAAGAGAAAAGAATACAGCAATGCCAACTTTCGAGAGATTGACTCTCTCCTTGCCACAGTCAAATAATGGAATAGTGAACATTTCTACATGTCCCCTTTTAAACTTTGGCAGTTATGCTAATCCACCATCTCATAAACTACACTCCCTCTCTCTCAATTAGCAAAAGTTTAACAGAACAATGATTAAAACACATTGGCCATGTACATGAAGATCTCTGCAATCTGTCTGGAATACACATATCACACAGAAGGTCTATCACCTTTCTTTCTATATTTCCCATAATTGGCTTCCTGTGAAGTTTCCAACAAATTTCTCTAGTATGACGCGATTTTCATTAATAATCATAACTTAACTTATCCATGTCATCTCCCTTTCTTGTTAGACTGTAATTTTCGTGAGAAGCAAACAGCAACTGAATTGTAATTTCGACGAGCAGCTTGTCCTTGTTCAAGTATTACATACCTCATACTTTCTCCATTCACAACTCTGTCTAAAGCTTGCTAGAAATAATGCCCCTCAGCAAATAATTCCTATAGATGCTGAGTTCTTCCCAAAGACCACTCAACGAACAATAATAGGTAGTTACCAACAGATTCTTTGTTTTGTTCTGTATTGACATCCCTTCTCTCAGTAGATGTTAGCAAGCGAATTTCATAATTGTCTAGCTGTGGGCATATACAAATATAGCTTTGTCTTCAACTATCCTAGTAGCCAAAACGTTCTGTATCCCCCACTTCCAATTTGGATCTCATAGTGCTGGTCAAACACTCAAGCTGTGGTGTGAAATCCAAACTGCTTTGGTCCAATCCGTAAAGTTGTACCATTTAGTTTCTGGGGTAAGGGGAAGTATCAACACGAGGATTCTGTGTAAAAGGAACAATGGTTTGCTGTTGTTCTATGGGTGCATCCGCCATGGTGATCCATAGTTCTTTTCGTAGATCAATGGACTAACTAATTAGCTTTGAAAGTTTTTAAGGGAGAAAACTTTCTAGATTATTTTATTGAGATCCAAATACATGATATATATATACAGGCAGGTGTTTAATTTCATGAAAAATACACATACGGTAAGTTAGGGGTAGGATATCTGTCCTCATTCTAAAATAGAAACCCAAAAGTTCAGGGAAATCAAATCTTAAAAATTAACACCAGACAAACCGAGTGAATCATGCACCAATATGTACCCAGCTTAAGCCTGTCCTTCACAACTATAAATCCTTCTTTCCTTCAAGTCCTATTAAGAGAAGACTATAACGGTTGAGCTTTGTCTGAATTCATGGGTTACAAAAGAAATGACTCCTTTAAGCTAATTAACAATTTAATATAGTAACAGAATTATGTCAATTTACTAATCATACAAATGTTAGAGAAACATCAAAATGAAGAAATTAACCATTAAAATAATTCGACTTATCCAGCAGCCCTGTAAACCAGTAGAAAAAATCCAAGCCAAGACATAAAGTAAGAAAACAAACTACATCTAGAATTTGTTTATCCAGATGCAAGTGCTTGCAACAGAAAGCATCTTTTCATATTATTGTAATTCTCTGTGATCTAATACCCCATCGTTCTACATTACCTTCACAGGGAATAATAATGTGACTAAGTTACTTTATGAAACTACGCTATCTCCATCTTAAAAGCTAAAATTTGAAAATTAAATCTATGCCCCTGTTTGACACGCATTTTGTTTGAAAATTAATTTTTGGAATAGTGATTGATGGAAGATTGTGTGGTTAAAAAGTAAGGAGAATTTTTGGGTTTATGTGTAATATTATTTTATTAATAGAATGTGTGGTTGAAATGAAAAATGAGAAAAAAATGAGTGTCAAACAGGGGCTATATTGCATTGAATAATACACTCCTTTTATTATGAGAAAACTAGTGAGGTTGAGATAATCAATAACACCACTTGAAAATTTTTCTCATTCCTTTTATTTATGACAGCAGCATTTTTCTTCAAGGGTGTTTACGTGAATCTGGAGTTTTTTTTTTTAAATTCATTCATTTATTTAATTTTTTTTTTTCCTTTTGGAAGGTTGAGTGGGGAGTCACTCTACGAGGGAATTGGCTGATTATAAGCCTTGATTTCCTCGTAGTTCTCCTTCTAGCCTCCAACTAGATTCAAGCCTGATCTCTAATTAGGCTGTTTATTTATGGAGGCCAATCTGCATAATGCTCATTGGTCTTGAAAATTTGACTGTATAAAGCTTTCAACCGGCACAACATTTTATTATTTCATTTTGTCAAAGTATGGATGAGAGGTAAATTCTAGAATAATATCTCATCACTAGGCAGAGCATTGAATTTCACACCTTGTTGTTATTCAAGATCTAGAACAGCAAATTAACCACAAGATGGGAACCAAATCAATTTTCTCCAAACTGACAACGCAAGAGAGACGGGAGAGGACAAAATATAACAATTCTAGACATGGTTCAGCAATTTAGTGTTAGTGTTCTGCAGCGCAGCCAGCGCTTAACAAGAATTTTTGTGAATTCCATCTTTATGTTTTTTCCAACGTTAAAAAAATCTCAACGGACCAGCAGTTCAACCGGGAAACCCAGGAAACAGCCTCAAATCAAGTCCGGTTATAGTATATTAAAAATTGGTAACTGAACCATTAAACCGGCCGACTTAACCATTAACCGAAAAATCATGTCCAGTTTTCCCAGCTTATAAGCTTCTTTTTTGGCAAAAAAAAAATAAAAAAATATTCAACTTTCTTGATGGGCTCACATATTGAACTAGCAAGCCCATTTCAATTTTTCTTCTAAGTGCTAAACCATTTTATAGACTCCTCTTCCACTGTTTTCATTACTTTTCCAATGTGGGATAAAAATTATAGCCAATTTTATTTATTTAACAGGGATATAAGTAAGACTTTTCAGAAAGAACAGATGACTGCAAACCTAATTTTACAGAAAGAAGATGAACAAACTATACAAGAACTTTAAAAATTGAGGATATGAGATTGAGCAAAGGAATCACCTTTTTATTGTTTCCCTTCGTGACAATAAAGGAATGTTAATATAAGTAGAGTATTCATTATGCTGTCACTTTCATGTGGTATACCAAAATGACTCACAGATGAAATGTCTACCATTCAAGAAAATGCACGTGTTCAGCTCACTACAAATTGAAACAGATTTCCATACTTTATTTTTCATGTGTTGTTAAGATGAGAGAAAACATTCCATATACAAAACAAACTTCCAACAAATTGAACTCATATAAACTCTATATTAGTTGGCCTATGTTTGGCTGATACTTATAAACATTCAAGCAACTTTTTATCCACACATTTCGAGATACCCATAAGTGCTACCGAATTATCCACCGCTCATTTCTGTGTAAACTGTTTATAAACACCTTCCAAACATGCTTTCATTTTCTTCTTTCAATAGCATTATTTTTGGACCACGTATGTACATAAAATCTTTAATTTAGTCCTAGGAGGACGGAAAACTTCTTTCAAGCCAATTCAGGTCACTCAGGGAACAATCGCATTGGGAAATTCTCTACTTGAACTGATTCTCTCCCAAAAAGGTACATCAGACAAAAATTATATTATTTTAAAAGATTGCATGCGCGAGCGCATACGAATAAGCCCCATACTACTATGTATAAATAGGCAGAATTACCGGTCGTCATCACCCAACACAACTATGTATAGATAGGCAGAATTACCTCATCATCACCGTTGCGCTTCTTTTGAAACCTATAGATATTCAACACCTAAAACCCACAAGAATTACATAAATTTAGACAAAAGACTATCAACCAATTTGGGATTTAATAAAACAAATATCAAGATACATAAAAATTCACATAAACAAATCGATTAAGAAAAAATAGGTAAACCAATAAGTGAGAAAGATATACTTGGACTTGGGCGGTGGGAGATGGTGAATTAAAGTTGTCAGAGAGAGAGGCCATGGCGCACATTAGAGCAAGAATGGTGACGGAAAACGTTAGCAGAGCGTTGGCTCTGAGCATAACCGAGTGCATTTTTCTGCTTAATCTTCCCCTGCCGTTTCGATCGAATGAAGTGTGAATTTGGATCGATTGCAGTTGGGAGATTAGTATCCTAGGGTTTACTTTTTAGTTTTTTTTTTGGAAGGATTTTATGTTGACAAATGTTTTAAAAATCGGTCCAAACATGGACCCGACAAAAATTAAGGGGATCAAATCGAGATGGAATTGAATGCCAAAATTATGTAAATAAATACATAAACAAATTTTATTTTTTTAATTTTAGTACTATTAATTCTAAATAAATATAAATTCATGTTTATGAATTAAATTTATTATCTTATAATTTATTTTAAAATTGTAGATCCAAGATTTAAATCCATATTATTATAGAACGAATTAAATAATTAAATTATCTCACACCGAGGACACCGTAGCTTCTTTTTTTTTCCCTCATCCCACACGGATGATCTGAGGAAAAGTTGATGAAGAATTTCTTTTAGAAGAAGCAATCCTTTGAAAGGAATCTCAATTGGGCTTGCCATTACCTTTGAGCCCAATCAACAAATTTCATTAAAAAAAAAAAGAAAAGAACTTTATAAAACCGATAAAAAATCGTGAACGGATTTCCAGTTTGTGATTAATTGGGTTCATTGATTTATTTACTGGTTATAATATATAATGATCAGACTTAGTGGTGTCAAATTGGCCGAGCTGCTTGTCGACTTGTTCAAAAGTTCAGTGACCATATGCAATTGAACTTTCAAAGTAGCTGTTTTGGGCACTTTTTTTCCTTCCTTTTTTTACTCTATAAATATTACAACTCGTTTTCAATTTTTTTCACACAACATTCCAACAATTCTCACTTTCTTTTACATCCTAATCTGTTACATTTTCATTTTTACTTTCAACTTCAATTATTCAATATCTTTTATCATTTATCACACTACAAATTTACAATTATAATCTTACACACTTTCCTTCAATTTTTGATTTATTTGCATACTCTTCATTTACTTAGTTATTTATTATACATTACATCATAATTCAAAAATGGATCCACACTCATTTATTGAGGGTTTGTTCGGAGGTGAATCACTTGTGATACCACAAAGTCAATTTCGAAAATGAAATTTTCAGTCTGAACGAAGTACTCATTCCTGAAAATATTCCAGATTTGGATTCTCATGGAAGTAGTAATCCAATTAATTTGGATGATGTTGATATTCCCGAAGCGGAACATGAGGAGAGACATATATTAGATATTCTCGATGCAAGAAGGAAATGAAATGGGGAAAAATAGGCAAAATGTTGGGATCACTTTAAATTGATTCCAACGGGTCGTGTGGTCGATCGAGGCTCAGAGTCTAAAGAAGCTTGTAAATATTATCAACAATGATTGAATGACAAAAAGGCATTGGTATCACCCACCTTAACCGCCAGTACAAAGCATGTGCAGCTAAACATGAGATTCTTGCTCTCGATCAAACGCAATTGCAATTTGGTAGTCGGGGCACTGGTTCTACTCTTTCTCCACTTTCCATGTGGATATATTTGTAGGAGAAAGTTCGAATGAGAATGATGAAACTCGTTGCTTCTAACAATAGCGGACAACCAACATTTCATCGCATACGTGAAAGAATATTTTCAACTGAAGTATGTTGAGGTAAGTGGAAACGCTCTTCGTTCATATACAATTGAATATTTTCTTAATATAAAGAAACAATTGAATACCGATTTACAAAAATACGGGGGTGTCACATTTTTAATTTCGGATATATGGGAAGTGATTAATAAAAGAGCTTATATAATTGCACTGCACACTACATAGACCCAGTTTGGTGTTTGTATAAAAAAATATTGCTTTTAAAATTATTGAATTCCCTCACAACGCTAACAATGTATATAACGCTATTATGAACATTATTAGAGAATATCATTATGAGAGTAAAATTCGTTCATTTACATTCGACAATGCTAGTGTTAATAAAACAACTATTGCTAAATTGTGTAGGGTATTGCATCCCAATTTCAATAATTATTTGTTTCATATTCGTTGTGTGTGCCATATTTTTAATTTAATTGTGAATGATAGTTTGAAACATATTAAGAATGAAATTCAAAGAATCAAGGATGCACTAGTATATATTACTATTTCACCTAGTAGAAAACAAGCAATTAAGGAAATTTGTGATGAATTTGGGGTGACGAATACGAAAACATTTGTTAGTGATGTATGACATAGATTGAACTCCACTTACTTATTATTAAAATCGTAACAATAGGTATATTGAAAACGATGATTGTTGTGTTTTTTTATATCGCAAGTATACGATATCGTAACAAGTAATATAGTGGATCTTTGAGTTCGAATTATCGTTCTCACGGAGACTATACTTTAAGATTTAATCTAATTTTTCTAACTCCTATTTGATAAAAGCAAATAAAAAATTATGATGGTTATAATTATTTTTCCTAACTACTTTTAACTAATGGAAAATATAAAATGATTGCAAATAATGAATAATTGAAAATTCAAATATGTGATGAATATTAGAGAATAACAATTTCATCTATTAATTACACAAATTTAGTTAATTTAATTTGGACAATAAGAATAAACACACAATAAAATTTGATTTTCAGAATTATAAGAATTTAACTAAAAATCTACTAAATAGGAAAACGTAAACACTTGGAAATTTCAGAGAAAGAACGTGGTTGAGATTCATGGTTTCGCTTAACCGTCACCTAATTAATTTTTCCACAAGCCAATTAATAAATTACTCCTTTACGATGTTAGATCCGATTTTCCAATTTTAGCTAATTACCTCTCTCGCGAAATTAACCCTAATTGATTAGTTTAACCTACTATATCTCTATGTTGATTTAAACTAAACAATTGCATTAATTTTT